TCTCAATCTTTCCTATTTTGATAGCAAAAGCTTAAGATGCATAGAAGTTGTCCTTATACCGACTACAAAAAGAGCTATCTAATCTTGAGCCAGGAGAAAGGAGCGTGTGTATGGCAGGGAATACTTTGTATATTGCAGTAAAAGTGAAGCAATATCCTGATATCAGTGAGGTATATATGAAAAATACAAATGCTTTTCTCAGTGGAAAAATAAACACGTTGTTCATACCAGGTATGCTATAGAGGGAGCAAAGAAAAACCTTACAGCTGAATTTAGAGATAACCTTTTTTAAACAAGAGAAGCCTTTGTCATGGGCACTGAAATAGGGTGGGCATAGACTCTTGCAGCTTCATTCCCTAACCTCAAAAAGAGACAATCAACCCATGTCAGAAAGATAAAGCTTTGAAGAAATGCAAACAGATTTTGTGTTTGAAGGGCCAAAGGTATATTCAGACCTTAGCAGGTAAATAACTATGTAGCATATTTAATTCTCCTTGATTTCATATACGCTTTATGTCAGGGTGGAAAGTAGACTGGATTCTGTTAACAGATCCCTTGCATCATGTAATAGATCTGCAAAGGTTTCTGACTCTTCCTTGTCTGATTACACACACACACACACACACACACACACACACACACACACGTACGTTAGCCTTCTACAATAATAAGAGCAGAGATGGGAGAAGAGTACATTTTTCTAAGAACTGGAAGATCAGTTCTGATACTGAAAACTTGTGGGCTCAGAGACCTCCTGTTTTCTACCTTTGGTTGAAGTCCCAGCAGTGAAGGTGTTCAAGAATAGGCTGGACATGCACATGGGAGCATGTCATGAGTGGAGCCAGCTGGAGCTGTGGGTCAGAATAGATGACCTGGCAGGACCCTTCTGATTCCCTCTGTTTCTATGTTTCTTGTTCTGTGTTTCTGTTTTCCTCTGACTCCAGTTGGTATATGGTGAGACTCAATTAAGAACAAAACAAAACCCCAAGTAGAGTATAGTACCTGAAATCCAGTGAGGCACAGTTAACTACACAATGATTTTTAGGGGCTTTTTAAAAAGCAAAGTAAAGAATCCAGAAGGATTACAATGGATAAATATAAAATCAGTAACATGGTATCCTGCAAATACGTGCAAAATTTAGAAGAGTTTGCATGTATATACAACAATGTCTCTCCAAGTTACAGTGTAAAGATGACCCTGAAAGTGACTAAGATTGAAAAGAGCAAGGACAGAACATTTAGGGAAAAAAGCTAATGACTGATTGGGTTGCCAAAACAGGCTATTACATAACCAATTCAAAACAAATATAGTGACTGGGTGCTCAGAACTTTGTAATAGGTCATATGATATTAGAGTCTGGGGGTTATTTGAAAATTGGTTTTCTTTCTTGATTGATTGATTGATTGATTTATATCCTGCCTTTTTCCTACAAAGGGCTCAAGGCAGCCTACATCATTCTCCTCCTCCATCTTATCCCCACAACAACAACCTGTGAGGTAGGTTGGGCTGAGAGTCTGTGACTGGCCCAAAGTTGGCTCCATGGCTGAGCGGGGAGTAGAACCCAGATCCTCTGAGTCCCAGTCCCATGCTCTTCACCACTACACCACACTGGCTCTCCATTATACTGAAGGCTTGCAAATTTTGACAAATCAGTGCAGTTTGGTGACAACCGCAACTTTCCTCCAAGGCAGAGTTGGGCATGATGGCTTTGATTCCAAGTTTGTGAGAAAATAAAACAGTAATGGAGCTTTCCTGACCCCTCTGCTCCACTGCAGCTCTGAATCCACCTGAAAGAATTTCCTAAGGGCTGGGATCCTTTGAATGAGAGCACCATTTGCCTGATTTCTCCCTCCCTAATTTGCTCTGTTTCTTCCTCCATTGCAACTTGCAGTACCCCATCCCAGGCCCTTCCTTAGTGTTCTCCAACTCTTGAGCTTCTTAACAAGCCTCTGGTGGTGACACAAACCCCTAAATCAGACAGCTGCCACCACAAAGCAATCACCCCTGTCTACCTCTGTGCTGGAGTAGGAAGAACCAACCAAGTGTGCCTGGAAGAGAGACTTGAATTCACAACCCATCATTCAGGGTCCAGCCTCTGCCCACTCTAATGTCGTCTTCAGGCGTTTCTCTTTCCTCAGCTCTGGCACATTTAAGACTAAACATCTTTGTGTTTGCGGTAACTTTGATACTCTGACATTAGGTTTCTCTTCCCCCTGCACCTCTTACTGCTTTTTGACCCTCTCTCTCTCAGAAGCCCCACTGAGTTCTATGACATTTCCAGACCTCTATTAGGATTTTTAGGATTTAGTGGAAGGATCATGTTTGTGTGTGTCTGAAGACCCAAGCATTGCTCCATTCCCCATCTTCTAGCTCTTCTTTCCATTGAACTTTGGCAGGGATGAGGGCGCCCCATTTTGTCCATGTGACTAGAAATCCCTGCACTTTGTTCTGCTTGTTCTGCTCAGCTTTACTCCACATACTTTTCAGCCAATCTCATGCACTTTGAAAAAGAATGCCTCCTGGCTATTCCATCTATCAGGGTTCCCTATTTGCATGCATGCCAGGGTGCATTGGAAATTGTTGGGATCATACCAGCTTTGTTGTTCTCTGGCGAATCTTAGTGCAGATGCTCACACCATTTCACAGAGTACAACCCAGGAGAAATGTACTGGTATTCTTCCTGGTAGATTGTGTCCTATGAATCAGGTTTGTCAGTCTACCACTTGGCTGCCTTTAATGGTAACCCTCAAAATCCACTGCCTGGGGCCACTGCCTATTATTATTACTGTAATATACATGAAGCTTCCCACTGCAAAAAAACAGTTTTGAAGAGATTTCATACACAAATATGAAAATTCATAATTGATACAGCCAAAGACAAATGGGATTATTTCTGACTAGATTACAAAGTGTATCATTCAGGCGTGACACTAGCCACTTGCGCAACCTTAGTAACTTCCACTCTAGCACCATCTCTACTAATACAGATTAGAATCCCTAACAAGATTCTCTTGCAATTTGTTTCCACTGCACCGTTTAGCTTCTCCCCGCTTTCCATCAGCTCCCATGTTTGTATTCTTTCTAAACTACTTCAGACTTCTGGAAAAGAGGTCTATAAAAACATATCCCATAATGCATTTGATATACTTTAGGATGCCCAAAGACTCCTTGTTTGTTTTTTAATCCTGATTGGAAAACAATAGATTACTGCAAGGTATATCACTTGAGGAATCTGAGAAGAGTACCGTTCAATTAAAGCTCCTTTTATTTCCGTAGTGAAAGTTAAGAGCATTCTTAAATACAGTACTTCCTACTGAAACAATGAGACCCAAAGGCCTTTACACTAGTTTTCACACAGTTTGATTGCAGTAGATGCTTCTGAAAAATGTCTGGAAACTGGTGTGGAACGCTGCTGTGACATTTCAAACCAGAATTGCTGGGGAATGATCAGAATTGTAGCTTTTTCTGCCTAAACTTATATAGGATTGTGTGCTAAATGGATCAGGATGCTTGAAGTACTGTTTTGCACATTGTTGCAAAAGCAACACTGGACTGTAAAAAATGGTCTATGTGAAAGGGGATGGTATATCAGTCAGGAAATATATGTGATACGAGATCATTCAAAAATCATTTTGAAGCACACAGACATATGCATCAGTTCTTTTTCAGATTGCTCATTCAGCTCTTAGGTAAAATCAGGACTCAGTGTCAGCTTCTGTGCTGAAATTCTAACTCATTTACACTGTTGGTTTGCAGGCAAGGACTGTTTTTTTTTTAATATGTTAATTACTGTACACTAAATACCAGTTCTATGTATCATTCCCAGGTGATATACAACACATTTCCATGTCATATTTCTTAAAACATTTATCCTGCTTATACTGGATAAATTTACCATTATGCTGGTAAAATGAGAATTTTCAGCCCTATCTGCAAATAACCTGTCTTTTCTTGTAGAATTTTAATTGCTCTTTATTTTCTTCATTACTGTGCATTCCTCTTCTTCAGGGTTCTTGTGTAACTACTACTCAATCTCTTCTTTGGACTCATCTGTTTCATTCCAGCTGTGAGGCTTCAGCAAGGGGCGGCATAGAAATGTTATAATAATAATGATGATGATGATGATGATGATGATGATGATGATGATGTATTACTGTCTTATATGTTAAGGTTTTAATTTTTGTGAAGCACAGAGCTGTTCGGCTGTTGGGTGGTACAGAAATGTAACAAGCAAATAGTGCGCTCTCCTATACACAGAGTCTTCTGAAACTGATTACCAGCACTGTTTTAAAAAGAATGAAATCAATTTATATTTGACCTGATTTGAAGCTCATTCCGTTGACGACATAAAATATTAATCACAGCAGAGAAGAACCTGACAGCGTGCTCATTTCACTTGCAGAGATCCATCATTAAAATTCAAAGGAAACTTTGTTAATACCTTGAAAAGAGCAGCATTAGGCCTTTTGGCAGCAGGATTGACACTGGTACAGTGGCGGATCTATCTGGAAACCCGGATTAGTGTTTTATTACATTATAATGTCTGTGCTGTCATCGCATGGAGAGTCCTGCAGTACCACACCACTTTTGCTTTTGCAGCAACGAACTAACACGACTACTGCTCTGAAAATAAAATAGTATCTTTACGAGCAAACCTCGTGCAGCAAAAAGAAACGGCCATTGCCTCGGGAACTGCCCTAGCACAGCAGCGCGTGCATCCCACTAGCCTGGGTCAACTGCTGCCAGTCCTGGCGGAAAAAGCGCGACTCGGGGCCGCGCGTGCGCTCTACTTCCTTGTCTTGACAGGGAGGCGGGAGGAAGACGCAGAGACGGAAGCGGCCGCCGTTGGGTGCTATAGCAAGGCGGATAGGCCAAGATTGGGTCACGTGGCCCCTGGCCGGGCGAGTGGGTAGCGGATTCGCGCTCGCTCTCTGTGTGTGGGTGCGCGCGCGCAATTGCCCAGGGGTGCGGGGGGTGGGGAGGGAGAGGTGGAACACGATGAAGCGGCTGGAGAAGTTGCCGGCCGAGGAAACGCTGAAGGTGAGCGCGAGGCGGGGGCGGGGGCTGCCTGCGCGCGCGCGCGTAGAGCGTGAGTGGGGCGGGGGGAGCGGCGGATCGCAGCCATTGCTCTGGGCCAAAGGCACTTTCCTTTTTTCCGCGGCGGACTTTGCGGGAGCGCAGGGCGGAAGGCCTCTTCTCTCCCCGGGGTCCTTGAGAGAGAGAGGAGTGACTGTGGTACCGTCACTGCCCCCGCCACGAACTGGGCCTCCTCCGCGCTCCTGGCATCGGGCCCGCGGCCGGTCAGAGGTCTCTGAGGCCGCCGAAGCAGGGCCCACAAGTGACGGCCATCCTCTCTTGTGTGAACCCGACGCCTGGAAATAGACGAGGGGCTCAGCTTCTGCATCACGGAGTTATCTTTAGTTCTCCTGGGTCGCCCTGCCTGGAATGTCTTTATTCAGAAAAATCAGAAAACTTGTGTGTGCTTTTTGAGTTATACCAAAATTAAATGTCTGCTTTTTCCATTTAAACAAAAATCAAGGTCTTCTGTTACAAAAACTAAACAAAAAGCACCTTCAGGGTCTTTTTATCTCACTGATTGTGATCAAAGCTCAGACAATGATATATCAATGAAAATGGTGCAGAAATAATTATAACTGTTTAAAAGGCCAAAGAGAGTTAGATGTCTTGTTGAAGTCTTTAAAGAAAAGGCTGCCTAAACTAGTGGCCCTGGCAGGGTCCATGAATAAATCTTGCATTGTGTGAATACTACAATTGCTCCCAAGTAAGTGTGTATGAGATTGTAGCAGTAATTTCTGAAATACTAATACCAATAGCTATTACACTAACCTGTTTTGTTCCTGAATGTGTGACCAATCAGTTATGTTGGTTAATTCAGGCTGCAGTGCTATGCATAGTCTCCTGGAACTGAGCTGCAGTGAATCTAGTAGATTTTCCTTCTGAGAAAACATGTGAAGCATTGTGCTGTCCACAGTTCTGTACTGTGTGAGAAAAAGTCAGTTTTTGTGTTCTCCATGCAGTAATGTTACAAGCCTGTCGTGCCTTCCCGAGTGGGTTTCCTATTCTTTTATCACTTGCCACAAGTTATGCAAGAGAAAATAAATTGCTGTTTACAGTGAAGTTTGTTGCTGCAAAGTGTTTAATCTTATGTTGTTCTAAAGTCTACTTAGTATTCAAAGTATTTTTTCTGCTTTTCTTCCTCCACTTCACTTAAACTGCTGTTTACCTCACAGGGGAAAATAGGTCCCTGGGTGGTGTATGTGTGTTTTCCACCTGGGGAAGGAAAGGTTGAAACATCCCATCTTGCAGAACTGAACCCCACATTTAGAACTCCTCCCAATATCTGCTCTTAACTTTTATGCAATAACTTTTCCTGGAATCAAAAGTGACACAATAGAGGCTGTTGCATTTTGGGCTGATGAAGAGAAGGTAGGACTCACTAGAGAAGACAATAATGTTAGGAATAGTCGAAGACATAAGATGAAGACCAAAAATGAAATGGATTGCTTCCATAATGGAAGCCACAGCCTTTGAGCTTAAAAAAGCTGAGCTGGGCATTTTGGAGGGCATAGGGTCACCATAAGTCAGAGACAGCTTGGTATCACATAATAACAATTGCTTACATTGACATTAGTTTGTAAGTTCTATGAGGTTACATTCAAACTTGGTTTTGCATCAACAATGTGGAATTCTTTTATTGAGAAGCTTCTGCATTCACCAAGCAAATGTCTGTGTGCATTCTACTCCTGTGTTTCCCTTTCCTTGACACTGATTTATGCCACAGCTCTTTGTCAGTCAACATGTAGTACTCTGTGGCGCTGCTGCAACTTGAATAATGGAAAGGCCTTAATACAGAGTTGACTGTGCTGGCTAGAACTCATGGTAGTTGCAGTCGGCCAACATCTGGAAAACCATCCTTCATTCCTGCTCATGAAGAGGGGAACATTCTTGTATACCCTTGCTGTACTGGTACTTCAGGTTAACAGACATGCTTGTTCTGTGGACAAGTCTTATTTTGTTCAGTAATGATACTTGAATTATTCTGTACTATTTCGTTGCTGAACTTGTTCAAGCTTTAGGAGATCCATGAAGTGTTTTCTTAAATTGGTCTTTTAAGACTTAGCTGAAGTCTTATGAGGCCCTTCATGGGAGTGTAAATAAGCATTAACTAAGCTATGTTTTGTATACAGTAACAACTGAATAGTTAAGTTCTGTCACAAAGCCTTTGCTACAGTCATTCTTGAAGTGGTAGACCCTTCCTATACTGCTGAAGACTCCAAGCTGAGCTTTGTGTTAGTATTACATCAGTTTTTGAACATTGGTCTGGGGGAGACCTAGTACATGGCCTCTTTCCATTTTTCAGGCAATATAAGAATTGTTGCATTAAAAGGTGCTGTTGCATATTACTTGTGTTTCCCTCCTCCTAAAAATAGGAACTCTTTCCCCTTTTTACTGTCTCAGTTACACATATAAAGTACAGAATTAGTTAGCGAAAATGGAAGGAACAGCTTTGGAGTGTATAGTCTAGTAGTTGAAGCTGTAAAATTTCTGAAGCCAAACACATGTGGACTCTGTCAGAACCTAAAAGGGAAACCTGATAGAAGCTGCACTGAGCTTTCTAAAATAATAGGATACAAATAGCATCACTAAAGGATATCTAACAGCTTTCCTTTCCAAGATAAATAATGAAACAGTATGCATATATAATATGATATTTACTTTTCTTGTAAAAGCTTTTACTTTTTGGTTGAAATGTACTTACAATCTTAGATCATTATACAACAGACCTTGTGGATAAATAGGCATTCGTTATGTTGGATGCAGGTAGTAGGAGGACTGGTACTTGGGTGCTGGTGTAGTAATGCTTTAGCACGTGTACTTTATGCCAGCATCAGTCTTTCCTTCTCTGCTTGTTAAATCTAATTCTCTTTTGTCCATTAAATGCTTTCTCTAGATAGATTTGTGTTACTGATGCTTTTTCTCCTTTAAACTTCTGTATCCTTTGCAACTCCTGTCAGGCCTTAAATCAGTGATTTCATAGTACACATGTAGTGTGTTATGGGAGAGCTGCTTGTTGTCTGGGGGGGAAAAAATGAAACAAAGTATATGAAACCGAAACACCTACTAACAGAATCTGCCTGCTATACTTTTGTATGACTGTATTTTGCTTTTCCTTCTCCTACTTGGCCTTTGCTAGAAGACAATACTTCATTGTGTCTGCAGTGAGTCTGATTGGCTCAGAAAAAAACACAATTTTACAGACAAATAGCACCTTGTATTTTTGTGCCACCTGTTGACACCTAAAAAGATTGGGATTGTGCTGCCACACCACAGGTGAGCTCTGAGATGATTCTGCTCTATCTCTACGTTAAGGGTGGTTGTGATTGTTCAGTCAATAACTTCAGCGGAATTGACTGCCCTTGCAGGAATCAAAAAGACATTTCCAGAATCCTACAGGACACTTTTATTATCTTTAATTTCTGCACAAAGTTTGAATGTGACTAACCAGCTAGTTGAAAATTATTCATTATTAAATTCCAAGGTAAATATGCCATAATCCTGATTGGTGTTTGTAATTACAATTTTGCCGCATATAACATTTGTAACCATACAGCATTCTGTCATGGATTTATTTTGTATTAAATACAGAGTGACCCATTTATTGTTGGAAGTGCCTGGAGCTGATGGAACATATTATCCTGTTAAAGTCTTGTATCCATTATTTTTTTCCAGTTCTTTCACAAAGTAGTTGATGGCATGTGTGGCCGGGCATACCCTCGATATCAAGATTATAACACTATCTGGAATGTGACAGACTGGATGGAGGTTCTAGAACAAACGGTGGCATATTTCAAAAGTACAGTTGGCAAAGATCTTTCGGATGAACAGGTATACTTATTTATTTAGCTTCAGCTATACCATCCATTAGCTGAAGCTCTCTGGACAGTTTCCAGTGCTTCCTAAACAGGACCATGATACAATAAAACATTATAAAATTTTCTGTAATTCAAATGTAAAAACTGTTGATTTTTATAAAACAGTTCACAACTACAACAGCAGAATAGACCTGTTAGAAAGCAATAACCATTAGGTAGCTTTAGACATCCTTAAATGCTTCTTCACAGAGCACTGTCTTAATCTAGCATTGAAAGGATGACAAAGTTACTGCCAGTTGAGCCTTGATGGGGGAAATGATTCCAAAATCGAGGAGTCAACACTGAAAAGAACTTCTTGTTTCTGGCTTCTAAGCCTCTCTTGGAGGTGACACTCAGAAGACCTCCAATATTGATTGTAGTGTACAGATTATGATTTGGAGAGGCATTCACATGTCACCATTCCAAACCAACTAGGCTCAAAACCAGCATCTTGACTTGGATTCAGAAGCATATAGGCAGCGAATGAACACAGGCCAGAATTGGTGTTATATATTCAGACCTTCTGGTCGCAGTTCTTACCTATCTGTCCAAGCTGCACCTTCTGAACAGTCTTCAAGGACAGACACATATTAGAGGGCCTTGCAGTAATCTAGACATTACCAGAGTGTAGATTACTGAAACCAAGCTGTTTCTGACCGATTGGGATGTAACTGTGCCACCAACAGAAGTTGAAGGAGGGCATTTCATGCCAGTGAAACCACCTAGGCCTCAAGCCACAAAGATGTACCCACAAGGATGCCCAGGCTGTGAATCTGGTTCTTCAAGGGGTGCAACCTCATCCAGCGCAGGAAGATTACCTTTATACTGTCAGAGGAACGACTCATTAACAGCATTTTTGTCTTGTCTGGATTGAGCTTCATTTTTAGCCCTGATCCAGTTCATTGCCATAACCAGGCATCAGCTTAGAAATCCACACCCTCACTTGATGGAAATGAAGTAGTAGTGTTGTGTGTTATCAGCATACTGATAGCAAAACACTCGAGATTTCATGTAGCTGTTAAATAGCATGTGGGACAAAATTGATTCTTGAGGATCCCTCTGGTGGAGATTCCCAAGGGCTAAGCAGTATTCCCCAAGCATCACCCTATGAAGCCAGCCTTTGAGGGACATATGAGTATCTGTTAATCAGATGTAACTATAAAAAGAAATTCTTCGATGTGTTATTCTAGGCCAAAATGTATGAATGTGAAGAAAAATTTATCAGGAAAGTTATAAGCATGCATTGATTGCAAGATTAGTCGAGTTAAATTCAATATGTAACTTTGAATTTAATTATAAATTAATATTTTAGTCAGTTTGCATAACAGCTGCAGCCACAGTGGGCTGTTATGTTTGTAAGCAGCCATTTGATTATTCAGCTCCTAATGAGGGATTGCTGTTGTTTGTTGTTATCTGCATTTGGGCAGCAGGGGTTGTTTAAGGGTTAAACAATCTTCAGATAACCCATGGTCTATTGTAAAGTTTTTGAAAGTTGTGTAAGGCTGCAGTGATCATATAAACCAGGCTAGATTCTTCTATACATTTTAATACATATTGTTTAATTAAATGTATAATTTGGGATAGCATTCAATTTTAAAAGTCTTTTATTTCCAGACATATTGATATGAGAATCTATAACACACCAAGTTGTTTGAATGGTCTGTACTGTTCTTCTGTATGTCTACTTCATTTTCATTCTTCAAAAAATTAGTTACTTGTCTAAATCTTAACAGATTTTGTAGAACATATCTCCCTTTAGCAGTGAACATAGTGGTGAGTGCCAGGACCAGTGGAACCAAAAGCAGAGAGGGGAAGCAAACTTCCGGCAGATGTTCCTTCTCTGGTTTATAGGTATTGGCCAAACCAGTTTTCTCTTTGGTATGATGGGATGCAGTTTCTTCCTGGAAGGCAAGGGATGCAGTGCCTGTTTAGAACTTTGGCTGTACTTGAAACATTTCCAAACCACTTTTCAGTATAAAAATTGAAAGATTTGCTAAGGACAATTAGGTATAAAAACAGGAAACAATGCAATAATATCTTCTTACTCATTTTTCTGCTCTCTATGAATTTAAAGTCACAATTTTGAGAGTCCTGTACAGGTTTTCTGAGTCTGACTGGAGCCATCCCATGGTGAGGAGTGCTCCTTCCTGCCTGGTCCCGCTCCACTATTGCATTTCTTTGCTTTCTGCTCATGGAGTGTTACTGCCTGAGGAGGAGAGCCTCCTCTCTGCTTGGAGATTTTCCTCATGAGCAAGAAAATCTGCAATCTGACTTGTGTGGAGAGCTCCCTGTATAAGCTCTGTTCTTTGGATAGGCACCCTCCAGAAAGAAAGCTACACATGCAATGGTGAAGGACTAGAATGCTCTCTTTCCCTGCACATGTGCCCTTTTCAGATGCAAATGTTCTGACCAGGAAAGAACATTGAGCCAATCCAGTTAGTGAGTAAAACATAAGCTTAATGTTCTCCAGATTTCAAATCAGATTTTTTTTTTAAGTGCTCGACTTGCTTTAAACCATGGCTTTAATTGTTCAGCCAGAAACCATGCACACATCCACAGTTATGCAATTGGAGGACTTATAGTCCCCAGAGGATCATTGAACAGACGAGTGGGATTCAGTATAGACATTTGCAGCCAAACCATGCAGCTGTACAGCTCTCCCTGCTGGAGATGCTGGGTTGTGCTAGGTGATGCTGGATGTCATGCCATTCCTGGGCTTTTTTTTTTTTTTTTACGTGCACAGCTTGGGTGCATCTCTCTGGTACTTTCTTGCACAGTAGATTTACTGTACAATGCTAAGTAATGTTTTGGAGCTCACAGCACTGCACATAAAAGTTACTTTTTAGTATTGGAGAAGTAGGAGCAGCTCTGTGGTGAGGCAGGACATGTGTAAGATGCAAGATTGGAAGATCATAGTTTTAGTGACTCCTTGGAATTATGGCAGAAGTGGCATCTGGTTATCTTTGTGTCCACTGAATTCCTCTGCTTCTGTATGCAACAGATATCTTTAAAATCTAAATAATTATGGTCTCTCTTTTGTAGGCCATTGAGCCACTGAGTGAGCTGAATTCTGACTCTCAAAGAGCAGCTATGACTTGCTTGAAAGGCAGGAGACATGATATCAGGAATGCCTTACTTGAAAGAACAAACGCCATCTGTTCATCACAGCTCCTGGATTTTGACTGGCAGCTAAAGGTTAGACCACGATTGTTATTTTCAGTTCTATAGGAACAGTAAGACATGCAGAGTCCTGCCTGGGAATGTAGGCTGTGGTGGAGCCAACTTAAGATGGATATACAAGGAGATCTAAAGCAAAGCTCAATGAGAAGAACCTGAGGAAAGTTACTTTTTCTACTTTACACACTAAAAGCAGTATATGCTTTTTGTTTAAATTGGTAATTGGCAATTAAATTGGACTAGGGTCATATTGTTTGCCTCTATCAAAATGACTGGGTGCTATGAAAGATTCTAGATTGGGACAATTTCAGTTCTGGATGCAGATGGAATACAGCCAGAGATGGGTGGTGGGAGAGTATAAGCTATGTGTCTCTAGAACTTTTAGAAACATAGAAACAGTGCAAACCAGAAGGGGTCTCCCAGGAGATCTAGTCTGACCCCTGGCTCCAGCTGGCTCCACTCATGACATGTCTACCATGTGCATGTCCAGCCTATCCTTAAACACCCTCGGTGATGGGGCTTCAACCACCTCCCATGGAAGCCCATTCCATACCCTTGGGATCCTAACCCTCAGGAAGTACTTCCTGGCATCCACCTTGAATCTTGGTTTCTGAGGTTTGCTCTATTGGAACACATCCTGCCCTCCACTTCTGTGTGGCACTTCCTCACATACTTGTATGTTGCTAACAGGTCCCCTCTGAGTCTTCTCTTCTCAAGACTGAAAAGACCCAGCTCCCTCAGTTTCTCCTCATATAGGAAGGAAAAATTAAACAGGCAGTTACAGGGAACCTTTAATACATTATTTCAAGCAAAATAATGAAGTACTAATTGTATCTGCTCAATTCAGTACTGAAGTAGGAGTCTCTTTTAGGGTAGAGTCCCACCAACTTTCCAGAATATAACAGTGCACAACAAGTTGACACAGCAGGAGGGAGACCACTCAGCTGTCATTCCTCACTCCTTTTATCTCCCAGCCCTGAACATTCAGGCCCATTCTACCACTTTCTCTCATGCTGGAATGAAGGGGACACTTTTTCACAAGAACCCAGTTATATTCCAATTAGTGGAACTTTAGTTATGGGCACCAGAGCTATCCAGCCAGCCTAAAACTAACACATTTACAGGTAATGAATCACAATATGGTCCCCAGGCCCAGTGTCCTTAATGTTAGCATTAAGGATATCTCAAGCAGTACTCAAGTTGGTTCATTCTGCAGTATGGAGATATCCTTTGCTAAATACTGTACACTATGAAATAATAGTGTACAGTATCTAGCAAAGGATCCACAAAGCATTCAGGTCTCATCTACTGGCATGATCATGATCCTGTGCCTGAGAAACAGGAAGACTGTGAAGGGCCATAGGTGGAAAGTGGATTGAATATATACATAATGCAACTGGTACTTCATAGTACAGTCTTTCTTAACCTGGTGCCCACCTGGTGTTTGGGAAAATGTCTCCCGAGATTCCTGGGTATTGGCCTTTCTAGCTGGAGCTGATGCAAATTCAAGTGCAAAACATCTAGAAAGGAGCACACTGGAGAAAGCGTGTCATAGTATCTCCTCACTGTCCTGAACTGGGGCTTATAGTATATATATATTGCACAGTACAATCTGCTGATATTAAAGGAAAAATGTACTAATGCCTCATGCAGTTCTGCTTGGGTTAAATATGGAACCTCCAGTACTTTCATAAAATCTGTGCAAAAGCTTGAAAGCTAAATTTGTTATTGTAGTTCTGTCACATTAATGAGAATAGCACAACCAGTAGTTTGCAGAACAGCTGGCCATAATGTGAAATGTTTGCTCAAAAGAGTAATTACTCTTGTAATGTCCTTTGCTGAGATGATTGCTGTACTATTGCTGATTTTTTTTCCTGGACTAGCTTTCTGTCTTTGCAGAGGTCATAGGCATTCTTAATTTTTCTGTAACTTTAAACTTTATAGTGAAAGTAAGCAAACCTTTCAGCTGCCTTATGATTTTGTTTTATTCTCTTGTACAGCTTGCTCTCTCGAGCGATAAGCTATCCATGCTGCAAATGCCACTTTTAAACCTTGATCTGGATTTGACAGAGAATGGTGACATCAAGTTGTTCTCCATAGAAATGAATAAAGAAGAATTACAAAACCTAATAAATGCATTGGAAGCAGCTAATAAGGTGTGTGTCGCATTAGAAATAGAAATCTGAAATTGACTGAATGGACAAGTCTAGGGGCTATAAAGATGTAAGTTAATCCTTGTGATAGGCCCACATGGCATTGATCTGAGGGTCTATAGGTACTAAGGATTCCTATTCAGTCCTATTCTATACATACAGTACAGTTGTTTTAAATGCATAATATTGGATATTGCATGACATCTTTGCTGTTTTCATAACATTGAGAATGTCATATAAGGTATCCTGGAATGATTTCCTTCATATTAGAAACATTATTGAACATTCCCAAGAGAAGTCTTCCTGAACCTGGTACTTTCCAGATGTTTTGGATGACAACTCTGAGCATTCCTGCCTATTAAGGACTGCTGGCTGCAGCAGATGAGAGTTGAAATTGGAAACATCTGGGGGACACCAAGTTTGAAAAGAAGGATCTAGAGAGTAGTACTACTACCTACTTTGGCAGTCGGAGGGGAAATATGCATGTTTGATTGGGGTTTAGCATTCCAGGGAAGCCTGTTCACTTTATTTTTTTTTACATTATCAGCCACTTCTTACATCAGCAAGCAATATAACTTTTACATGTCTTTAATTTTGAGCTTCAGCAATGTTGCTTTAGAATGGCATTCGTTTTTCTGGGAATTGCACACATTCGTTTTAATAAAGCCTTGTTAGCATCAGAGAAGAGGGCCGCCATTTCTGGTTGATCTGATGACTGAGCAGGGCAAGTCTTGGGCACCAGTTCTGCCAAGCTATGTAGATCAGCTGTCGGAGAAATGTGTATGCTAGATCTACCCCATGTTTCTCAGCAAATAGGCTTGGTGTCAAATCAGTGTCTCTTCCTGCAGCAGAAACCCTCAATTCTTTCACTGACTCCTTTGAAAGGTACAGTTAAAATACCATATGTGTGTGATCTCAGCTGGCAGACCTGTCCTAGGCTGTGTTGCACAATAGATTCCGGTATCTTCCCAACAGGGGTGGTTATTACTACAATGCATGAAAAAACAAATTTCTGAGGAGCTGCATGGAGCACACTCAGCACAAAGTCTTATACTAAGAGAAAGATATTGAAAAGGACTTGAGCCTTCTGAAGGAGCTACAAATGGCAGGTTCTGTTAAAGCTATACATGAATAAATCCCTCTAGCCCTTAATAAATGTCACTGCTGCTATGATCAATTTCACAGCCCATCTGCATTTCCCTAAATAAGGGGATTACATCAGGAAACTGGATAACAATGTTACACAATGTTACAATGTCTAACACCCCTATTTCCCCTCCTGTAAAATAGAATAATGACACTGTGCAGTTTTGCTGGACTGGGGTCCCGCACAGTTCCACATTTTCTTAGTCACTTACCTGCCTCCTATGATATAATGATTTTTTCTGCATTCATTTCCAGGGGAATTTTATATGTTTATAAATACAGGAAAAAACATTATTCAAAAGATCTGGGATAGAAGGATCATGCATTTGTATTTTTCCTGCCTTTTTCTTATGCAAATTATGGTCCATTGTCAGCTTGGCTATGTTCTTGAATTTCTGTTTCTTTAATGAGACAGCAATTATTTCTTAAGAGGGAAGATATCCCAAAGGCTCAAAAGTGACACACCCACTATCTTGTCTAGATAGTGGGTGTGTCAACCATTGCTAGGATTTAATTCATTGGCTGAAAAGACTGAGAAATAGAAGCAGACTATTTTTTAATAAAATGAATTGGCAGAATAATGGTTGTACAATGTGTCTCCTATATCAGATTCAACAAGAGCCAGATACTTGCTTTTAAAAAAAGATGGCTGTATATCAAGATTAGGGTTCCTTTGAAGGTGGGGGGGGGCATACCATGAGCGGCCCTTGTTTAATTAGCGAGTTAATTAAATTTTTAAGAATAATTAATCTTACTAGTTGTCTCATGGGAGAAGGTTGGGACCTCACTTCTTAGTTGTATAAAAATTGGCTTTGCTTCAAATGAGAAAACAAGGGCAAGTATGGGTATGCTGTAAATTTTGCAATATTTCAGAATGTTTAGAAAGTTTATATAAAGCATTTTTTGAATTTGAGAACATACAGTTACTTATTTGTCATTTAGACATACTGTTTCCATTTTTTTTTCCTTGAAGGTTGTCCAGCAACTGAAGTGATTCCAATTATCTGTGATACCTCTCACTGATGGATAGACAGATATGTATTCTGCAAAACAACAGGAACTGAATAGCTGAGCTCAGGACATAAAAGGGGAACATGAACAACTTCAATCCCAAATTTACCAAGTGTCAGACTCTTGATTTGTGCTAGACCAAAATAAATAGTAAGGAACATTGTGACTTCATTTGTGGGCATGTCAAAAAGAGCATTGTTTTGTCAGACTGTTAGCCGCACTTACGAGAAGTTGTGCTACTGTGTTAAATTATTTATCAGCGATCCTGACAACTTTGTCTTCTTATGTTTCTAGCAAAGCAGCAAACAATTACCTTAAATAATCTGGTGCAAACATTCCTTTTCTGATTGCTTGGGATGTATATAAGAAGATCAGTTCTATAAAATCATTTTCATACTAAAAGCAAAATATTCTCTTACGTTTCTACACTGCATAGGAAAGATAGTTTGTTGTCCAGATCAATCTCTATTCTTAAATGCAGTAAAAGATGCCCACAGTTATGCATGACAGATTGAACACAGCTCTGAGGTACTCTGAGATTTGAGTAGACTTTTGAGTCCAGAATGGTCTTTACATATGAGGAACTAGGAGAATTCATAAGCAAATATGGAAAACTTATCAGAAATTGATAATGTGGGTAAATACAGCTGAACTGCATTTCTTCAAAGCTCAAGGCTGCAATCCTGAAATCAACAGAATCTAAGTGCCTGTTTATGTCACTGATAACCTATAAGGGCATTTCAACACCACCTTGTAAGCATTCCACCTAACTCAAGCTTGTGATGTGTAAGCGAAATAAATATTTAAGGCTGGACTGTGTAGTTTAGTTGACATCAGGTGTGAATCTTCTAAAATCTTAAGTGATACTAGTCCATGAAAACAAACAATAGATTCCTTAAGAGTCCGTATTGTAACTGTCCCCGAGTCTGTCTAACCCTTTAAAGAAAGTTTGTGAAGGAGAACTTCCAAAGCATTTGCTGTTCTTTTTAAAGCTATGATGTTCTTGTCCTTTAGTTGGAACTATGGCTAAAAAAGAGTCCACCTGTTATGGTTTAAACTACCAGAAGGGCTTCTGGGATCTGACTAGACTAGGGCACCTGAATCCTGTGGAAGACACTGCAGTGCTGGCTAGTTGACAGCGCTGTTCACAAATTTATGGTTAGGGCACCTTTTTGTTGATAGCATGACTTAATGACTTTTTTGTGTTAGTGTAGACATAAAATGTTGAACATTTAAATTAGGGATCTAACACTGCTCAGCTTGCTAGAAGTGTAGGAAAGGAGTTGTAAGAAAAATGAGATGGAAATATGGGTATAATCAGAGGATTTTGAACTGTTTTAGTGGAAGGTAAGAATGCTGGGGCCCTCATTTTTGTTTTGTAAACTTGCCAATCTGCAAAGCCACCTCAATTTCATCTTTTTCTTTTTTTCTTTGGTGTTGTGGTCACATAGCTTGTCTTTTATTATCATACCTTTAATCTTGAGGATTGGCACTACATATGAACATTGACAAAGTTGTAAAGTTGTATTGACATTGTCAAAAACCTTTCCCTTCATATAAAGAAGGGATTTGGTTGTAGTTAAATTAAAAGATTATTATGTTAACATGTGTTGCTGTATTAGTACCTAAATCTCAATGTTTTTCAAGTGCTTAAAATGTTTGCACAATTGACTGATAAAATGTGAGAAGAAATGTTGCAATATTTATTTCTGTGAGTCTTAATTGTCAGATGAAATACTCTTATAAAAAAACTGCATAGTAAACACATCCTTTTAATGTAAGGTTGGGCAGACAATTTAGAAACAAATATATAACACTTTGTAACAAATATTGGAGGCTTTGTATAAATTTAGAACTTGAATAGCTTCATTGTGTACAAAGCAAGTCCATACAGTGGAAAGCTATTTTAAAAAGATTTATTTGGTTACTAGGAATACATCAACTAACAGAAGTTACATTTATTACACATCTAGAAGTTATGAAAAATGGTTTGATGATAAAGTTAGACAATGCTACTTTTTCTTTTGTATCTTCTTGGTTTTTACCTAAATGTTACTGCAGCATTTAACAGGAAAGTAGAAATTAAATACTGAGTGTGAAAAACAAAGACACCAATAGTTGCTGGGAAACAGAAATAATTAACATTTCTCTGAGTATTATGTTTCCAAGCTGATGGCATTGCTTCCTAAAATATGCAGTGACTAAAATCAAAATATAGAAAAATAAAAGATGGAAGCCAGAGCGGAGGGGAAAAAAAGATGAAACTAGGAATGTTGAAGCACATACCAGAAGATAAGTATGACATTAATAGAACATCCTACTGTATCTGTGTGCCTAGAAAAGAGAAGAAGCTCTGATGTGGATGTACACATGTCCCAAAATATATGAATAATTTTAAAGAAGAATGGTTCGTGTGTTGCAACATGTTAGATCAGAAAGATTTACAGTTCTGTAGAAGTTGGCTAGAAGAGGCAGAATGACTGCTGGTGCTGCAGTTGTGGGCTTCCTGTATTGGGTTTCCTGTATTGGCAAGGGATTGGAACAAGACAACCTTGAGGCACCTTTCAATTCTGATCCTATGGGCTTGATTATTCCCCAATACAGTAGGATGCAGGGGATCCAATGTTGTCTGGCAGTCATGAGATCTGGCTTCAAATTTTGTTCAGCAATGAAACTTCCTAGCTGGTCTTAAGAAAGTGACTAATAATCAACCTGGTTTATAGCACAGGATATTTGAAGGGTAAAAGGGATAATCCTAAGTGCATCCTGAGGAACAACATACTGCAAATGAACACAGACTGCATTAAGATTATTAAGATGCAATTAGGATTGATGCTTTTTTTAAATAAGCAATGCAAAACTACAAGCGATCTACTATGTCATTAGAAGGATCTTGTAAGCCACATAAGATAGCTTTGAAAGATCTAAGGTCTTGTTAACTGTGGACTGGTTTAGAACTCGAATAGCAGGAAAAAGTATATTGAGCTAAAATACTACACGGCTTGCCAAATATCCATTAATTCTAACAGAGCATTAGAATCTGTAAACATTTGTGTTCACTTTGATAGCAAATGGTCAGTGTATGAAATACCTAGTTTGCTGATGATATCTAGTTTGTTTCTGTCCTGGTTGGGCGGTACCATCTTTTCACTAGAGGCAGTATAAATGTATCCTTCCTGTGCAAATCCATATTTTCTAACATGTGGGTACTTACTCAGTTTATATATTCCAGGTTCAAACATTTCATACAATTTGATGTCAAGGCAAGATTCTTCAGTTTGTTACAGATTATGGCTTCTGTCAACACCTGATTTGAGACTTTCAGAGTATATACAAAATATTCAAGGAAAGTAATGAGTGTTTTGCTTGAATGAAGGTTGTAAGATTTGGACTACAATCCAGTGAATTGTACCAGATGCCCCTCATAAGGGGGCCTGCATTAGGACATTAAGGGTGGCTTGTTCTCTTCACATATGATTACTTTTCTGAAGCATCTCTGTGGCCAATTACTGGATCTGCATGCACCAAAAGCAGAAAACTAGTGCAAACACTAAACATTAAAACATGCTTTTCAGCTGTCCATCTTGTAGCCAAAATGTTGCTGTATCTATTTTGAGGTTTAAAAATCACAACAAATTAAAACACACTACTTTTGTTTTGCAGTGTAAGCTTTAATATAGCCAAGAATGGGCTTTGCTGAATGTCACCTTGTCCGCAAGCTGAAATGGCACCGTGGGACCAATTGCAATGAATAAGAACTGAACAAGAGAAATAGGGTTTGCTCCAGATATCTTCTTGGTAGATGGGCCCTTGCCCAATATTAGATCAGTTAAATCAGAATATGAGAATAATCACAGTATTGTGTCCTTTACAGGATTTTAAAAAATAATCTACAGTCTAGTCCAGGAAAAAACCTTTGGAAAAACATCTGAAAGAATATTTGTTGACAGCAAAAGATTCTAGTGCTACATTATGCAGATTTTTTAAGTATGTGCAAACCCACCCACCCTGCAACATGCAATTCTATATTGTAAGGAAAAACCTCAACCAAATTGAGACACAAAACACATACACTCTAAAAAGTTAGATCTGGATGTGTAAAAAGCATATACAGAAAGTCACATGGCACACAGATCAGGAATTTGAATCAGAAAATGCAGCATATCTTTATACAAAGTAGAAAAGTTAATCATAAAAAATTAGTCTGTTTTTCCTCCCTTGGCATTCTGTGGATCTTATTTCCTAGAAATCTTTCCTTTCGTTTTGGAAAACAAACGTTTTCAAAGAACCTTTTAGCAACCAAACTCCATAAGATTCCAGAAAAGAATTCTCAACTATGTCTATGGTCTGCAAAATGTTTTTGATTGTATGTATTTGCAATTAAAATTCAAAGATTGAATTTATATGGTTTCATTATAAAATTAATGATACATCATTCTATTAATGCATTTCTTGAAGGATTTACACATGATTAAAATGAATGAGGGGAAAGGTATTTTTAATTCATAAGGAAATACCAAAAGAACCTTGTTTTAAGGGTTGGATCCAGATTTAGTTATACTTAGAGTGGACTCTATATGATTAATTTAGTCCCATTTCTTTCAGTGGGTCTAATTTTCAAGTGTGATCAGCTCTGGGTCCAGAACATTGATCATTCCAGCAATAACTTTTATTGTTGCTGGAGCAGGCTTGGGACTGCATTAAGTTGGCCAGCAGCAACTTCATGTTTCTTGTGAAATACACGTCTGAGGCGTGATTGGAGTTTCAAGCAACCAGTGATGGATTTGGACTATCATATCATATGACAACAGTTTGCATTACCTATTTCCCTTTGTACATGGAGTGTCTCTTGGTGGCAATCATGAATATCTGTTGGTCTAAACCAGAATAAGCAGCCTTTTGCAGAATAGGGCTGAATTAAATTTTGGAGATGCTTTTAGGAGCCACATTCCAGTGGCTAGTGTGGCTGAAGGCAAAAGGAGGAGGGGGTCATAAATACAACAAAACCCAGCACAATAGCTTTACGCTGTTAATGCCAATAATGAAGGCTTAAGGGAAGCATTTTGACCTTTTAGAATGAGCAAAAAATTGCACAAAAGCCAGGAAAGTGTTGGACAAATGGTGGCTGGGGCAAGGAGCTGGACTGAGGTCACCAGGATTCTGCTCCTCGGGCCTAAGGCTCCCTGCCATGTTGTAAACCTGTCTGCCTCGTTTTACACATTTTATGGATGAAGATCTGTAAAGCTCAGCCATGTTGCCGCCAGTTCCACCTCCGATTACTACTCACTAATCTGATCACTAAGGCAGCTATGGCTAAGCCTAGGACAATCACAGGCACCTACTTTTTTAATTAACAGGAACATGATTTTATGGAGAGGAGGTTTACACCCTTTCCCTCAAATTTACTGGGAGTCCTACACAAAGGTAGCCCATGCTATCCAGCGGGTAAACAAGGTTGCTAAACAATTGCTTCAATCATTTGTGTCTAAACATCAAAGTAAGTAACAGGAAAGCTAATCAAGTTCCCACCCCATGTCACATAGACATGTATACTTTTAGAACTGAGATGCTGGTAGTTTAATATGACATGGGTACTTGATAGACTATTTTTATAGTCTGGATAAGGTGTGACCCACTGAGCTCATGGCTGTCTTCCACAATCACGCACAACAGTCAACTCCAACTGTAATAAAGAGGTTCTGCCGACTGTGTCTACATGGATCAGGTTTGAGCTGTCAATATGACCTGTGGGGTTTGGTTTTCTCAGTTTTTAATGTATTTTTAGCAGAAGCAGAGTGTTACTGGCTATCGGGAAAGGTTAATGTTATTGTTTCTGCCCCACAGTAATATTAAAGTTATGTGTTAATATATGCTTCCTTTTGTTGTATTACTTTATATTTAATGTATTTTTGAGAGCAATTTTAAAAACAATAGGATGACCACATTGCCACCTCAACTATTAAGGACTTATGCAAAAGATTTCAGAAGTAATATACAACTATGCTTTCTATGACAAAACCGTTTTTGTGAAATTAGCTGATACAATATATTTAGCTGCATGATTTTATATTTGCAGGGAAAACTTCAGTCAAAACAAATGACTATTCTAGCCAGATCAGATTATCATTGTTTTGTAAAATGACATGCACAAGATGATCTTCCTCTCCCTGTCCTCCCATCCTGTATATTTGGATTTTTTAGGCTATCAATGACATTTCAAGGAGGAAAGGAAGGAGACTGGCAAAAGCTCAGTACAGCTCATATCCAGGTCTCTCTCGTCTTCCTTCCTCCCTATCCTCTGGCCGTCCTCTTCCCCCGCCCTCTGTAACTTAGCTGGTGTTTGTTCTTTCTGTGTTGCATTTAAGGGGTTGGGAGAAGTGGGGTTGGATCTGCAACTCCTCCTTCCAAGGCTTGTGTGCTGCCTCAGACCTTGCAATGAGGATCCTTGGTACCTATAGCCCCTCAGACAATGTCTAGGTGCCTAGAATGGCACCCTGATGATCTTTTTGCAGCAGTTTATTTTGCTAGGGAAAGTCAAGCTGACTGAAGTGGCAGCTTTTCTGGGTTTTTCCAGAAAACATGTAAAAATTAAAAATGCATTCTCCAATTCTCCCTGTTGGCAGACACCCATCACACACTAAGGTAAAGTTTCTTTAGCAATGTGGCATCTGGTGATAAGGAGCAGATGTGCA